GCCGGGTCGGGTTTTCATGTCGTGTCAAATATTGACACCCCTATCCTAGCTTGAAGTTATTTTTATTTCGAGCAGCTTGACATAGCCACGACGTTGTATATTAGAGTTTTGCAGCACTGTACACTTGTGCATCAGTTAGGGGTGCAAGTGAATCAAATCGTCTCATGTTAGAGTTTAAACACTGGTTGCGACAGCAATCAAGATCTAGTACTTTTATGCAGGCTCCAATTCTCCCCGACTGGGGAAAAAACAGTTTTTCAACAGTTTAACTACCGATCGCTAAGACGATGAAGACCCGATACATTTAACCTAGACTGCAATTCTCTTCCGACAGGAGAAAAACCACAATAAGAAGTCAGTCTTGGGAGAGCTCTAATTTATGAGTACTTTCAAGGAAATGAACTCAGATACGCAGCTAAACAAAGCTAAAGTCTTTAGCTTCGTCCAGCAAGTCACTGATTAGTTTTCTTCGTTTGCTTAAGATAAATAAATACCACATGACATCATTTTATGTGCATCATGTTCAAGATGATGACTCTCATTGACATCATTCATATGCGGTTTAGTGTTTGCTTTCCTAAAGCATAATCTTTCATTACTATTCAAATAAGTAACATTCAATAATGCATGGAGATTGATGCAACATACATGTAACATAATGATCATATCTTATGCAAAATAATACACCATCAATGTTCTTTGATGCATTTAATTGTTCATTTGAGACATAGATAATGATATGATCATTTAATTTTAATGGTAATCCATTGGAATTTTCGATTAAGGGTAAGATTTCGTTTGGGATGGCTTTCTTGCCGCTTCTTAAAGCAGCTTATGTACTAAAAAGCAGCTTTTAAGAAGCGGCAAGAAAGCCGTCCCAAACGAAGCTTAAGTTTCGTTGTCAAGTTTTTTAGGTTTTAGATTTGAGTTTATCTATAGGTACTGTAAGGCGAGTAGATGAGTTCTTCGAGTGAATGATCTTGGCGCGCAAATATGCGACTTCAGGCAAGTTCAATTTGTATTTTAAAATCTTTGGATCTATTTTGAGACGAATCAAATACAAATTGTTCATGTTTTACGCTTATTTAATCGGAAATAGATCCGAAAACTTATAAATCTATCATAATGTTTTCTATGAGAAAAAAGTGCAATACTTAAATGATTTATATAGCACGCATTTCAAAGTAGATCTAAGATCTTGAAGTTCATTGGATCAAAAAATTGATGAGAGTATATTATCATAATTTTTTTAATTAAATTTATGTAGGCTCTCTTTTTTCTAAATACATATCATTCAAAAAATCACATGAGAGAAAAATAGAGCTAACATATGTTAATCAAATATTGATTTAATAACTTTTAAATTTTAAATTTATTTTAAAAAGCATAATAGTTAATAAAATAATTTTTAGATTATATATTAAAATTTAAAGTTTATTTGGGGCAGCTTTTCAATGTTTTGCTTTTCAGGCAATAACCACAATTTTGGTTTCATTTGTGACGGCTTTCTTACTACTTTCTAAAGAAGTTTTCAAGACCAATTTTTTTTAATTTAAAAGTTGCTTTAGAAAATAGTAAGAAAGCCGTCCAAACGATGCCTTAGTTTGCTATTACTTTGTCTGAGTTTTTTTAAAAGAATTTATGGCAAAAATTTATTTTTTAATCATACTAATAAAATTATTATTTTTTCACAATAATTTCATAATTAAATTTATAAAATGCTTCAGCAGTCGTAAATATAACCCTTAATTATAATATTCTCATGTAATCTTTTCTTTTCTTGAGAACGAAGCAGAGTAAAATTACTAACGTCACCCTATTAAATAAACGGACAAAATAAATAAATGTAATTCCGGAAAAAGATAGAGCACAGTTATACACTCAAGCGTTTACACTTCACAATGGCATCCCATAGGTCTGTGTGGATGGAATCTCTCCGTTTAGAATATTCATTAGATCTCTTTTTCATTGGTCCATGTAGACATGTAGAGTACCAAGATGTTGCGTATACTTTTGCTTTATTGAAGGTGAGGATATCAATCGCTTTCTTGAACATTTATTTAAGGCTTGGCTTCTTTCCGGCATCGGTGGAAAGGTCCTCTTTAAATGGAAAATTATTTTTATCCAAAATTTTCAGCCTTAAAATTCTTATCTATAACTATATAGAATTAATGTTACATAAAATTTAAAATATTTTATTATCTGTTTATTAAAAATATCGTGATTATTTTTTTTTCTTTTTAATATTTTATGACATATTTTCAATTAGTTTAATTAGCATATTTAAAATTTCATTCAGTGTAATTTTTCTGCTATTTTATTTTTTAGATTACGATTAGATCGATTAGAATGTGATTGATATAATAAAATTTTTAAAAAATTATGCTAGATATCTTGATAAAACTTATGTTATGATGAATTTATGTTTGCAATATTACTAAACTCTTGGACATCATATAGATCACTAATCTTAATGTCATTCTAAGAATAATGAGGTTGATCTTGAGATAAATGACATCAAGATATACAGATGTAATTTAAAAAATGTTATCCATGAAATTATTCAATTATATATATGTATGATATATCATTGATATGTTATCAAAAAATTATCTTGATTTGGCACGAATCTCAAGGCAAAAATCAAGTTGAAAACTTCAAAAATTAAATCTGGGATCATTTGAACCCTGATTTTAGCAAAATTATAGTCGAACTAATCATCTCGGAAATACGAACCCAATGACACCAAATTCAACTCGATCTGAGCTCAAATGAGTCTGAATCGAAGACTCGAAGCATTGTTGGAAGATTCAAACCATAATTTGGATTACCAAACGGTTTTCAAACATGACATGTTTATAGTCAAATCGATCGTCTTGATGAGACAAATCCAACGAGCCCAAGATCGCCGACTTCCGATAACATAAAGACCTTCAAATGTCTGATAAACGGTCCACAATCAAAGGATTCAATATCGGTCGTCAATCCAAACTACTCCACATTTGCCCTTGATTCTCCTCCTATTTACGGTCATGTCATACTTAAAAACCTATAAATAGCGCCTCATTTCTCTTGAGAGGGAACCAAAGGAAGAAGATGAGAAGAGAATAATACGAGGGAAGAAACTCCTCGACCACCGCCGGAGTTCCGCCCGACTTCCAAGTGACGCCGGAATTTTGCCCGACTTTCCAGTGACGTCGGAACTCCGCCCGATCTCCAAGTGATGCCAGAATTCTATTTTTCTCCAAGTGACTCTGGAGTTTTGCCCAAATACCATCTAACATCCTAGTTTTCCCCGGCCGCCGACTGACGTCAAACTTCTACCTTATGTCTGACCTCCGCTCGTCGCCAGATTTCTACCCGACGTCGGATTTATACCCGTTGTCGAGTTTTCACCGGACATATATCCGATGCTGGATTTATGTCCATTGTTGGACTTCTACCCGACTACGATCCTTCCGACTTCC